GACATCACAATGTAACTATCAAGTCTTTGGATGATGGGAAGTGGTACAACATCTGTGGCAATTATGTCAGTTTGGTACGTGTTCAAAGCTATTCTTTAAAAATATCAATACTGTAGTCCAAAAATTATTTTTATAAAAACAAAAGATTACTGGATTGTTTTCAGGTTTATACCCAGCCATTCAATGAAGGCTTGAGTCACAGGTAACTTCACATCTGTTTTTTTCTTCTTTATTTTGCTGAACATGAACCTGAACTGACTTTATTTTAACTCCCATCAGATGCCGGGACGTTTGTCTGCTGTTCTACAGGAAAGGTGAGATTACAGACATTATTAACATGTAAAACGACGAGTTTTCTGACTGACTGGCCTTTTCTGAGCGAGTCCTTTCCGTTTCTTTTTTTTATCTCTCCAGTTTCTGCTGCAGAGACTTTGGGTTCGGGGATCAGAGACGTTTCCGCCTCTGAGAAAGAGTCCAGAAACAGAGAGCAGCAGCGTGATGATGATGTGGAGAGAGCAGGAGTAGTGGAGGTTAGAAGGGAGGAAGGAGGGACTACAGGGGGAAAACTGAGAGAAGAGAAGGAGAAGAAGAAGACGGAGGGAGAAGAGAGGGCTGGAGGTCCAGACCAGAGGGGAGGAGACCTCCGGGGTCAGGAGGAGAGCAGCAGAGGAGGAGGAGGTGCTGTGGGCTCCTCCTCTGAAGTCTCCAAACTCAGCACCAAGGACAGGAAGCAGCAGGCGGAGCGTCGGTCTCTGGAGGAACAGCTTCAGATCCTCTTTGAGGACCTGAAGAAACATTCAGCCGAAACCAGGAACCCCAGTTGGAGCAACCGAGGTACAACAGATGTTTCCAAGTCTTATTATGTCAGTTTTGGGATGAAAACGAGAGTTTTTTGATCAAGATAAAAACATGTTTTCAGTAGATTTTTATATATCCCATTGTTTATTTGGTATTTATGGTTTTGGTCTTACTCTCCTGCATGAACACACAAAGCTAAAAGCTCTCCAGAATCATGAACAATAAGAACAGCATAGAAAATAACCAGGTCAGCTAGCAAAGGGTCCTGGACAGAGTCCACCAAAGCAGATTAAAAAATAACGATTCAAGATTTATCTGGTTAGCGTCACTCAGAGTTGATGGAAAATGATTTAAAACCATCAATTTAGAAGTATAAAAAGATGTGAATTCTTCTTTAATCTGTGTTTTTCTTTCAGCTTGAGTTAAAAACAGGCTTGAGGAACATTAAGTGTCCGATGAGGTTAATGTTTTTTCCTTTTCACCTCCTCCAGTGGATGTTCAGAGTGGTGCTGATGAGTGTTTCCAGAAGATCCTGAGAAACGTGAGCGCTCCCGGAGCTTCTCAAGTACAGATTCCACGTTAGATCTCACAGATCTGTGATTTAAACGAGATGCTAACAGTCTTTGTTTGGTCTCTCTGCAGCTGTTCCAGGGTCAGCTGACACATATGACCAAATGCCGTAAATGTGGCTCTGAGACCAGCTCTGAGGAAACTTTCTGGAGTCTGCCTCTTCCATTTAAAGAGTCCTTCAAAGAATACAAAGTGGTGAGAAATCTGACAGTCTGTTTACTTTGCAGACTCATTTGCATTTAAGTCTGCACTGTTCATATTAATTATGATAAATCTGCTTACAACCGGCACGATTTTGGTCAGAAAGCATTTTTGTAAAATATCACTGACATTAACACCTGAAACTGGTCAGATTTTTGAAGAATTTATTGTATTTATTGAGAGTTTCAGAGTTTTCTGCTCCTTAATAATAAGCTGTTTCTATAATCCTAGCAGAGAAAAGTAAGAAAATGTATGTTTCAGGTTGATGTCGTAGCTGAGTATTTGGGCCAGTCAGTGGTCAGTGGAGCAAACCAGCTGTTCTGTGAGCGTTGTGATGCCAAATGTGATGCTGCCGCGGTGAGTTCAGGCTCTTTTTGCTGTTCCACACGTTTGTATTCAGGGAACTTGACACTTTCACAGTGGAAACATTCAGAGATGATTAAATTAATGTGAACAAACACAGGCTGAGTCTTTACAGAAGGAAATTTCTGTGACAGAAAACTGTATTTGGTATATTATTATTTTAATAGATTTTTCATTAATTATTTTTTCCATTTATTTTTAACATTTTGCAGCACTTAGATGAGGAACAACAGGCTTTTTTTATCTTTAATATCCAGGATAGTTTTTCACACTTTAAAATTTGGCACAAACAGATTATCCTCTAATTCGTGTGTGATTTTGTCAGAAATGTGAAATGGTGAATCATCCAGAAGTTTTGGTGCTGCAGCTGAAAAGATTTAAGTTTGACAGCATTACCAAATGGCACACTAAAATCATACGTTATGTGGAGTTTCCCTGTGTGCTGGAGATCCCACACGCTGGAGCTGAGGTACTTTACACCGAATGTCTTTATTAAAGTCATTATAGTTTTATTCCTGTTGCTGATTCTGTCATTTTCCCTCTTTTCTGGTTGTCAGACTGAGATTTATGAGCTGTGTGCATTCATTGAACATGTTCATGGATATAAATACGGACATCACAATGTAACTATCAAGTCTTTGGATGATGGGAAGTGGTACGACATCATTGGAAATGATGTCAGTTTGGTACGTGTTCAATGCTATACTTTAAGAATATGAATATTTTAATCTACAAATTATTTTTATAAAAACAAAAGATTACTGGATTGTTTTCAGGTTCATACCCAGCCATTCAAAGAAGACATGAGTCACAGGTAACTTCACATCTGTCTTTTTATTCTTTATTTTGCTGAACATGAACCTGAACTCACTTTCTTTTCACTCCCATCAGCTCCTGGGACGTTTTTCTGCTGTTCTACAGGAAAGGTGAGATTACAAACATTATTAACATGTAAACCGACGAGTTTTCTGACTGACTGGCCGTTTCTGAGTGAGTCCTTTCTGTTTATTGTTGATCTGTTTCTCGTTGATCCCTCCAGTTTCTGCTGCAGAGACTTTGGGTTCGGGGATCAGAGACGTTTCCGCCTCTGAGAAAGAGTCCAGAAACAGAGAGCAGCAGCGTGGTGATGATGTGGAGACAGCAGGAGGAGTGGAGGTTAGAGGGGAGGAAGGAGGGACTAGAGGGGGAAAACAGAGAGAGGAGGAACAGAAGAAGAAGACGGGGGGAGAAGAGAGTGCTGCAAAACCGATGCTGACCAGAGCCGACCTCTGTAATAACCCGACGCAGAATAGAGGAGGAGAGGCCGGAGGTGGAGCCAGACACAACGATGGGCAACACGCGGACAGTGAACGCACCACAGTCAGCCAGAACGGGGATAGGGCTAAATCTGAGGACAGGCAGGAAAACGGGAAGGACAGAGGAGGGAACGTCAAAGAGGCCGGAAACAAAGAGTCTGAGGAGGAAAAACAGAGATATGACAAGAAGACGGGGGGTCAGGGAGCAGCTGGAGGTCCAAACCAGCGGGGAGGAGGTGCTGTGGGCTCCTCCTCTGAAGCCTCCAAACTCAGCACCAAGGACAGGGAGCAGCAGCCTGAAGTTAAAACCAGAGCATCTGCCCCCCCCCC